GCACCTGATCCGGGCTATAGTCTTCACAATTATGTGCTTTGCATCAGAGAGTTGGACAGTGAATAGGGTTGACAGAAAGAGAACTGATGCCTTTGAGCTGTGGTGCTGGAGACGAGTGTTGAATATACCATGGACTAGTAGGAGAACACCAGGTTTGTTCCAGAGAAGGTGAAGCCGGAGAGCTCCTTGGAGTCAAGGATTCTGAAGCTTCGTCTGACATACCTTGAGCATGTTGCAAGGAGGGACTGGTCCTTGGAGAGGGACATCATGTTTGGCAGAGTGGAGTGGGCGGTGAAGAAGAGGAAGACCTTCAATGAGATGGATGATTCTGTGACTGGAGCGGTGGGAATAAGTGTGTTTGAGATGGCTAGGTTGGCACAGGATAGAACAGCATTTAGAGCCCTTGTACATAGGGTCGTTATGAGTCGCAAGTGACTCAATGGTACATAACAACAACAACAACAACATCTATCATGATGTTACAGTGGTGAGGATATTTGTCTTCTGTAGTTTTGATCTTCTGGAGCAAGTGTTTCAAGTCCTCCTCCTTTTCAGCAAGTAAGATTGTGTCATTTATATAAAATGCAGGTTGTTGCTGAGTCTTCCTCATACCCTGAGGCAATATTCTTCATTAAGTTCAGCTTCTAAAACTATTTGCCCAGCAGACAGATTTGTGTGGAGAGAGGATGCAGCCCACTCTAAAGGTGCTGAACATAATGAAAAATAGATGCATTGTTGCTGTTATGTGCCATCGAGTCCTGTGCACAACAGCTCTGAACTCTGTCTGATCCTGAGCCAGTCTTTGACACACCTGCCCCTATTATACCGTCACTGTGTTAATCCATCTCACCCAGGGACACACCTGCCCCTATTATACCGTCACTGTGTTAATCCATCTCACCCAGGGTCTTCTTCCTCTCCTGCACTGTCCCTCCACCCTTCCAAGTAGGATGTCCTTCTCCAAGGACTGGTCCCTTCTGGTCTCCTTGCCTCCAAGGAGAAACTTGGTTTCACCCTCTCCAGGACAGACCTGGTTGTTGGCCATCTAAGCTTAGTTCTTGGCTCTATCCTGAGCTCCACTGGGATTTCAGTTTCCTCATCTGTGAAAATGGGAATTATCTCTCTCCAGCTCACAGACTGGTTGTAAGGATTAACTTAGAATGCACGGGAAAGCAACTGGGAAAGCAGCCGCTTCAGCTGCTTTCCTCTAAGGCTTTTGGTAACATCACCATTTGCATACCTCAGTCCCCCTCTAGGGAAAACGTGCCCTCTCAGGGAATACGAGTTGACCCCAACGCCTGGTAAAGAGCTTTGAAGATACGAGGGGGCCGATCACCAAGCCTGTCACAGCCTGCTAATGTCTGCGTCCCCCGCAGAGCCCCAGTACTCCCGTTCCCTTCCCCTTTGGGACTCCCCTTCACTTCCCTAAATCTCTATCCTTCAGGAGGTCCCTTCGCCTCCGATGCCTCAGTCTCTCATCTCGGAATGCCCGGTCAGGCCCTCTCACCCCGTCGCTTCTCTTCCTCCCCTCGTCTCCTCCTTCAGCCGGCGGGGGCGGCCTGAATTTAGCAGAAAGGTTGAAGACCACGCGAAGGACTGGCTTGGTCCACACTCACCTCTAGAGCTACACCCAGATTCTCCCGCTTCTTTTTCGTCATGTTACTTGCCGCAATCCCCCAGTCATCGCAGGACACGCCCGCTACGCCTCACCGCGCACGCGCGGGTGTCGTGCGCCTCTCTCATTGGCTGGCGGTGTCCTCGGCAGCCATCTTTCTGCGGGGCATGGCCGGCGAGGGGCGGCCATATTTGTGAGGGTCCCACCGGGGCTTTGACACTTCGTTATGATCTCTTTTATTTATTTTTAAAATAAAAAATAAATGAGCATTTACAGAGATTTTGGATTTCCATTCATTCATTGCTGCACTTCTCTCCCCGCCCAGCCCTTCCCCCCACCCCAGTTCGCTCCTCTCTTTCAAAAGTAAAAGAAACACTCCCTCCCTGGTACACAATCCCCCTCCCCGAACCCCTCCCACTGCCCCAAGTACACTCCACTATGCAACCTTAATTGTGGACTCTTGTGATAACCATAGTACCCTATCATACATCGCTTTTAAATTATTCTTTCCCTCATCTGTTTCAGTGCAGTATACACAATTTATCCAGTTTTTCTCAGTCTTACCCCAACCCTGATATCAATCCCATTTTACAACAGTGGCACCATGCAATATTTGTCCTTTTGCGACTGATATATTTCACTCAGCATAATGTCCTCCAGGGTCACCCATTTTGAATAATATTGCATGAGTTCCTTGTTTTTCAATGCAGCATAGTATTCCATTGTGTTACTGTACCACAGCTTCTCTATCCGTTTGTTTGTTGATGGGCACTTAGGTTGTTTCCAACTCTTTGCTATTGTGAACAAAGCCATGATAAACATGGTGTGGCATATATCTGCTTGGATGTCAGTTATGGTCTCTTTGGGATATATTTCCAGAAGTGGAATTGCTGGGTCAAATGGTTATTTATTTATTTATTTAAATTTTTTATTATTTTTTTTGTGCATTGTACCGTCAAATCAGCTCTGACTATACAGGAGGAAATTGTCCCTCCTTCTCCAGCAGAGCATCTGGTGGATTCAAACCAGGCACATCTGGGATTGCAGTTCAACTTCTTGCCACTAGGCCACCAGAGCTCCCTTATGATCTCTAAACTGAGGGAAGCTAAGTAGGTAGGACCAGGTGGTGGAACCATTTCTTTCCTTTCTATTTTAGGATACTTTAGGTAGTTGAGGGAGTTCTGGTGGCCTAGTGGATAGAGAAAGGCGCTGCCGGCCCAAAGATGGGTGGTTCAAATCCATCAGCAGCTTGAAAACCCACAGGAGGGTCAGCTATGAGTTAATTCTGATTTAGCAGCAGTTGAGTTTGAGCTGAGGTGGCTAAGCTCAGTTGCTATCCAAATAGATGACTCAGCTTCTGTAAGGATTTACAGCCTTGACAAACCAATGGGGTAGCTCCACTCCTTGTATGGATTTTGTAGGAGTTGAAAGTTGAAATAGACGGAGTAGCAGAGGGCTGCAATTACATGACTGAAAACATTTTCTTCCCCATCTTCTATACTTTCATCCTATCTCCCCTTCCTGCAGGCAGAGAACGTTGAGACTTGTCTCTCACAATGACCATGAGAAGGACATTATATTTGGTTAAAGAAAAAGGTTAGAGAAAAAGACAGTCCTTAATAGTTTGGCAGTGTCTGAAGCAGTGGGCATTGATAGAACAATCATTGTGAGGATTGGCGCAAGGCTGGTATTTTGCTCTATTTTACATATAGGGTCGCTGTGGGTTAGAATGGAATAAATGGTGCTTAACAACCACGTTTTATTTAAATTCTGCCCATCCTGTAAGGCCCAACCTGGATCTTTTCTCCTTAGGAAACTCTGCCTTGAACGTTTCGGAATCTGATCTTGGGCTCACTTTTGTTATTCACCCTTCTTCATCATCTGGTTTTGGGAATATTTCTTGTGTTACTGTAGAAACAGCCTGCAGACATCACAAAAAGCTTATAAATTAAAGCAGAATCCTTCATGTTATAGTTCTTTCTAAAATGTAAAAATTATTTTATATTGGTGTGCATACACAATTCATATACATTGTGTTTTGTTTATGTACATTGTTTCACACATTGCTCTATTCATAATGAGTTTCATAGGATCATTCCCATACCTGCTATCATTCTTACCACAGTCACTGGATAGTCTTTTTCAGGTTTGTCTTCCACATTGTTGTTGTTGTTAGGTGCCATCGAGTTAAGCATGACTCATAGTGACTCTATGAACAAAAGATCTGAGCCCTGTGTTATCCCACACCATCCTCACACTTCCTGACACAAAAGAACCCGTTGCAGCAGTCATGTCAGTCCACTTGGTTGAAGGTCTTCTTCTCCTTCTCTGACCCTCCACTCTTCCCAACATCATGTACATCTCCAAGGAATAGCAGCACCTCCTAGCAACTTGTCCAAAGTATATGAGGTAAAGCCTCATCATTCTTGCCTCCAAAGATAAATTGTCTGTCTGTCTTACACATGTTGTTGTTCTTGATTGCCGTAGAGTCGATCACAACTCATAGCGACCCTGCCTTTCTATAACTATAGTAATTTCTCAAAAGTTCGTAGAGTTTCCAGAGGCATGTTGGATGCCACTCCTGCTTCCAAACCTGTCTTAAACTGGGAACGCCACCAAACACTCTACAATGGGTAACCGTTATGGCATTTGACACCCCAATGGCACAAGATTCAGCATCACAGCAATCCCAGGTTACCTCTGTACAGCGAATAGAAAAGTGCTGTACCACTTAGAAGAATGTTCCTCCAAAATATAATAACAACTGACTTAAATACAAAGGCCCTCCACGGGGTCTTGTTGACTCTAAACAAGAGGCTTAAATAAAAAAAAAAAACAACAAACCCAATATGTTGTTGTTGATTGTTGTTATGTGCTGTTGAATTGCCTGTGACCCATAGCCTCCCTATGTACAGCAGCTCTGAACCCTTCCCTGTCCTGAGCCATTCTCACTAATTTCAGCATACTAACCCCCATTGCCCAAGTTACTGTATCAATCTGTCTCATCCGGAGTCTTCCTCTCTTGTGCTGTCTCTCCACCGTTCTAAGCATGATGTCCTTCTCAAAGGACTGGTCTCTCCTGGCCATGTGCCCAAAGTATGTGAGACAGAGCTTCAAAATCCTAGCCTCTAAGGAGAAATTTGGTTTTATGCTCTCCAAGACAAACAGCTTCTTGTCACTAGGTCACCAGAGCTCCATTGTTATATTATTGTCCCTTATTAGTGGATAGTTAACTGCAAATTGAAAAACACCATGCTAAATATGTCCCCATGTCTTTGAAATCATTATTTGTGATGGTGATTCACATCAAGTGAATACATTCCACTCTTGTATTGGACATTATTTTATTGGATGTTGGCTCCAAGTGCTGCCGAGGCAGATGTCTTTGTACACATAGCTCTGTTATTTTGAATTATTTCCTTAAGATAAATTCACAGCAGTGGAATTACTGGATCAAAGAGTATGAGACCAAAATTGAAGTACCTTATTTCCAGACCTCTTTGTTATCTCTTGTTGGAACCTGTGTTTCTGGGTGTGAATAATAACCCCGACTCAGTGTTTGGGGTGGGGGTGAGGGATGTTTTCAGGTCTGTGCTTCCTTCTTGAGAGTCATTGAATGATGGAACTGGCGGGAACCTGAGATAGCATCTCGCCCAGCCACCTGACTGAGGACCACAGAGGAAAAGCCTAGTAAATCCTATCTGAGCAGAAAGCAGGCTGCTGAGCAGTTGTGTAGCCCCCAGCTCAGCACCCAGCACAGGGAAAATCTTACTCAAGAACATTGTCCGTCAGCTGTCAATCAACCACATTTATTGTCAGAACATTCTTCATTGCTTTGGTTCTAATCCAGAAAAACCAGATTCTGTACTTTTCAATTATCACAGGCACCGGCCCAGGGGAGGTGAGAAGAGAAGGAAAAACACTGTGTTCTTTTAGAAGTGACTCCTTCTGTTTGTTTGGCTCTGAGAAAAAGCCAAGGAGATCCGGATGTGCTTCATGTCAGCTCCTTGTCGCCCTTCGTTCCCTTGCAAAATGAAGGGTGAACTGTCATCCCTTTCTCTGAAACTAGAACAAAAATAAGTTGCTGTCAAGTCGATTCCAACTCATGGTGAATCCATATGTGTTAAAGTACAACTCTGCTCCATGGGAATTTGAAGGTGGCAACCTTTCAGAAGCAAATCTCCAGGTCCTTCTAACAAAGTCCCTCTGGGTGGGTTCCAAGTGCCAACCTCAACCTCGCCAGCATTTGTTGCTTGCTGCTCTGTTAAATTTTGCTATTCTGACTGGGGTGAGATGATATCTCATAGTTGTTTTGATTTGCATCTCCCTTAGAGCTAGGGATTGTGAACATTTCTTCATGTGCTTGTTGGCCATCTGACTGTCTTCTTTAGTGAAGTGTCTATTCATATTCTGTGCCCATTTTTCAATTGGATTGTTTACCTTTATCTTTTTGTGGTGCTCAAGTATTTTATAAATTCTAGATATAAGTCCCTTAACTGACATGTCATTACCAAATACTTTTTCCCAGTTTGTGGAAGAAACTGGAGCCCTTATTCACTGTTGGTGGGAGTGTAAAATGGTGCAACCACTAGGGAAGACTGTATGGTGTTTTCTCAAAAAGTTGCAAATAGAGATACCATTTGACCCGGCAATTCCACTATTGGGAATATACCCCAAAGAGACTGTAACTGCCACCCAAGCAGATATATGCACACCATGTTTATCATGGCTTTGTTCACAATAGCAAAGAGTTGGAAACAACCTAAGTGCCCATCAACAAACAAACGGATAGAGAAGCTATGGTACAGTAAGCAATGTACTGTGGTACAGTAACACAATGGAATACTATGCTGCATTGAAAAACAAGGAACTCATGCAATATTATTCAAAATGGGTGACCCTGGAGGACATTATGCTGAGTGAAGTATCTCAGTCACAAAAGGACAAATACTGCATGGTGCCACTGTTGTAAAACATGACTGACATCGGGGTTTGAGGGAGACTGAGAAAGATGGGTTCAATAATGTATACTGCATTGGAACA